AGTCTTCGCGGATGGAGGCGTCAGCAGCAAAAGAAACCGATATATTTTGATGCAGGTATAATGCGATGTTCGGCGTACAGTGCTGTAGTCAACCGGTGGGCAATGCTCTATTTACAGGCTTAGAGCAGTCTGACCGATGTCTCCTTCACTAGTCCTTTACATGCGCCGCCTGGCAGTACAGCTAATGAAAGTACAGCCATTCAACATTTCCATGACAAGCTGTTACACATCCAGGGTCGGCTGAAGACAGAACCTGGAAAAAGAATGGGAACAAAAAGACATCAAGTTGTAAGTTAACAGTATCGGCATCGTCAAGTTGCCAGTCTAACAGCAAAATAGATACTGGATTTCCTGGCCTCTATTGAAGAAGAATATCAAACTGTGATTCCATGAGCTGGTTAAATATCACTACCCCAACTATATGAGAGGATTAGGTTATCACTGGTACCACCATTGACAATACAAGCAAATTGATTTATCCGAAAAACATCAATATCGTTACACATCTTTCACATCAACGAAGAGCTTCTGTACTCTAGACATTCTTGATACCCAAATCTTCGCCAATGATAACGGCAGCTTTCTCACCGATTACCAGAGCGGTGGAGTAGGTGTTCTAGAAACAGCATACTATCAGGACTGTACACATTGTGAAATACAGTTGAACCTACAGCGGCAACATTACCAGGAGCGATCGAAAGATCTGATGCGCATATATCAGCATATTTTTGCGTTATGAAGCTGGGAAACGAATATACCTGCTACTTTGAGCCCTTCCACTCCATAAACATTCAAACGTTGATCAACAACTCCTCCTTGCTCGCGAGGCTTCATCGAGCATGTCCCAAGCTAATCGTCATTGTCAATTGGTCGCTAACTGTGGCTACTTCCTAAAGAAAACTCACTGAATGCCAAGCAGTTTGAACTATGGATAGCGTTTTTAGACAGAGATTCAGCCAGCACGAAGAAACTAATGAAACATACCGTAATTTCGGTTGTATGCCTCGATGGCCTTCTCATCCTCTGGCGTATAAGCAATGACGGGGGCAGAAACATCGGCAGGGCCATCGTGGTCTTTGCAAACGGCCTCGCTTCCCGTAGGGAATGTTGGATGTCCAGGAGTAAACTCGCCTCGATAAAGGCCCATTCGACGGGCAAATTCACGAGTTTTCTTGTAGCCCCAACGTAAGGTTGCTACATCGGCGGGACTAACCATAGACTATTAATGTTGTCACGAGGATGATTGTAAAGCTGAGGCTTACTCGCTCAAGAAACCTGGCGTGAAGTCTGGGGCTGCATGAGGATCCTGCCCCGATTTGATGTGTACATTCCCAAGTGACACCGGGTATTGCTGCAGATACCTATAAGACTTGTGCCATCATATTTGACTACAACTCACTGTGAAATAGCCGAAGCTGTAGTATTTGCGAGCAGAGGCAACGGAGGGGTCGCCGAGATAACTGATATGAGGTCTGTTATATTCGAAAAGAGATGACTGCAAGCAAGTAATTACCATGAAACCGAGCCGATCCAGATCACTGATTTATCCAGGGCGTTCGCGAAGTACGTTTTCCATCGATGTTCAAATGCGGGGCCCAGTTCTTTGAGGTCCTCCGCGTTCGGCCGTATTTTGATACCCGCGTCCAAACCGCTATGGAAGGTCAGTAAAAGCCAGTAACGTATTTTAAAGGCTTACTTATGGGCCATCAATCCTTTTCCTTCACCCTCCCACTGCGCAACACATTCTGAAAAGAGAAACGTCAATGTGCCGGACGACAATAATAGAGATAAAAAACTGACTGTCCACTTCTTCCTTCTCCCCTTGGAATAAAGCATCCAGAGTTTCCGCATCATCGCTTGCCAAGTAAGGGACGAAAACAACATTATGGTCTGTGATCCAATACTGAGAATATGCATAGATATTTGAGCCAGGATGACCTGCCTTGATAGTTTTCACCCACTCCTGGGAGATCAACGATCTCCTCAACCCCACTTTGCTCTAACATACTCTTTGCTCCGATACCGGACCTCTCTAGAATAGTCGGCGACCCAAATGCTCCGGCCGAAACAACCACCAGTCGTGACGCTCGGACTGAGTGAATAGCCTTATCTCCATCGGGGTGGTTGACGATATCGTCTGTGTACTCTACACCTACAGCACGATTGTTCCTGATACCAAACTTAGATGAATATGTACACTGTACCTGTGAAAGCTAATACTCACTCGATTATAACTCGTTTAACGCGTTTACCATCGATGACTTCAAGGTTGCTAAAGTTGCGGTTGTAGATGAAGTGGTGGGGTACGTCCGATCGCCTCCCCGTCTTACCATCAATCCACCTAGGAGTACGTGATATACTTCAACGCCCTCGATAATATGAACAAAGAAAATACGCCTTACTTTTGCCATCTCTAGGGAGAGCATGATTTTAAATGTTGTGCCACCATCGTCCAAACAAAAGAGAATAACTTACTCCATAGGCATTACAAGAGAATAAACCATTGATATCTTCAGTGAAACCTCGCTCCTTGTCAAATTCCGATGCGACATCTAAGAACTGCTTTCCGACGTTGGTATATGCACCTCCATATGAAACTTTCAGTGGCCCGGAGTATCCATGAGTAGGCTCATCGGGCTTGACTTGGTAAGTTTCAGTCTATAGTTAGAAGACCCATATAAAGAAATGAATGATCAGTTATGGGAAGGCTCGCTTCAACGAGGGGACATAAACGTACCTTTTTCAGCAGAGGGATCAGGTCCTTGGACCCCCAACCGGCATTCCCATGGACCGTCTCCCAGTCATCGTAATCAGACGCTGCGGCACGTGTATACATGGTGACTTTGAACACATCGTGAGCAATTGTACTCAGGCCCATAGTAATCAGGACGTACAGTTCACACTAGAGCCACCTCCTACACATCGACCGGAAGGTGTCACCAAGGCTCGACCGTTGAGTTCTTTGCTCGGATTCCCTACATTAAATGTCACGGTTTTGCTGGTGGGAGCCAAATGACTGAGGTAGCGTGCTGGTTGAGTATGCGCATCGATGTTGCGTATATGGAGGCCTTGCTCTAAGACTAGTACCCTCAGCGAAGGGTCTGCGGTGGCAAGCCGGCTAGCTACCAGACAGCCTGCGGTACCTCCTGTGTTACATGCTTAGCTCTGTGGAGTGTGATACACGCCTTAGATACCTCCTGCGAAGATGATATCGTATCCGATCAAAGAAGGTTTCGACATGGCAGATATGCAGAGAGCAAGTAACTCGAGTGATAGAAGCTAGGGGGGATCAAGAATTACAGGATCCATCGCAGCTGCGTATTTACGGTGGGGTACATTCGCATCTTCTTTAGAAGTGAAAGAAACGTATCAAACAACGTTAACCTTGCAGCACCCGATTGTACTGATAATGGATGATTACAATCTTTACGTTAACAGGTGTGGATGAAATCAGAAAAATGGTGCCTACTAGTAGCCTCGACCCCAACTGCTAGACTCGCTTAGTAAATTTGCCGATATGAACTTGCGAACTGGCAGGTTGCTGTTTTGTGACGAGGACAAATTCCTCACCCAAGATGAGGTGGGAACTTCGTCGGAGATGTTGAAATGAAGAGAATATAGTCCATATGGCACATCTATTGCCACATTGGCCATTACAAACATGGTAGCGGTGCCTTAGCACCAATCCCTAGTCTCCGATCCCTGACTCTACTTAAGGTAATCAACAACATTGGAATTTGTTTGATAGCAAGGAATATCAATTTAATCATTTTTTTATGCGTTGCACAAGCCTTTAACGTTTCAACAGCATTGCCAGCAGTTCAAATTCACAAATATTTACAAGGGTCAATGCACAGCATTGAGAGCATGTGTACACTTTGCTTGGCCATGTCTTGTTTCGTGTTTTGACAACCTTTCTATTTTCTTGACAAGTTCAGACAAAAGCAAGCTGATCCAACAGATGTCATGGCTATTGGGGGTCTCTGAAGGAATAATTGACAAAGTTGATAGAGCTGCAGTAGGTACTATCATGGACCCAGAGTTGCAAAATAGCACAGAGATGAAAAATCCATTATCATGGGCACAACACTTGTAAATATTGTATATCTACTGATACTCAGTCACACTTATCACACTACAATGAGTTGGCCAAGTAAGTCTATTCTTCACTGTAAAGTATGATGTAATAATCCTAAGTGAAACTCAGCCGCTGCCCGAGAGGCTATAGAAACGACTATATTATTTACCTATGTGAAACTACAATGGATGTTAGTTTAAGGTGATCTCTAATAAATGTAATGTAACATACCTCAGCCGCTGCCTGAGAGGCTATAGAAACGACTGAGGTATTCCTATACTAAACCCCCTACTACTTATAGTCGGAGGTGCTACTTGCTACAGTATAATGACTCCTAGGAGTACAATTGTGCTCCTAGGAGAACAATGGTTACTCCATGGAGTGGTGGCTATGCTCCATGGAGAACAATGGCTGCTTCGGCAGAGACTGGGTTTATCCGGTTTTGTCACTCCCACTCGAGTGCAACCATAGTTCCATAGCTTTAGAGAATTTCCAGTGTTTTTCATGAGTGAGGGGTTTAGTGAGAATGTCTGCAACCATATCTCCTGTAGGAACGTATCTGATTACTGCCTCTCCCTTTGATACTAAGTCATCTTGGATGAAATGATATTTCCGTTGAATGTGTTTTGTGCGAGCACGGAACTGTGGATCTCGTGTAAGAATGATAGCTGCTTGATTGTCACAGTGCAATGTTGTAGGTCCATTTTGAGCATGTCCAATTTCTTCAAAAAATGTCCGAAGCCATGCAAGGTGTTGTCCAGCATTGCTCAATCCAATGTACTCTGACTCCGTGGAGGATAAAGCTACCATGCTTTGTCTTTTGCTTGTCCAGGAGATTGCTCCTTGTCAGGCAACAAATACAAAGCTATATAACAAAGCACAATGCCTGGTCAAGTCCTTGCTGGAAGGCGGTGAATCAGGGTATGAGAATGAAGAGTATCGGTATGAGCGCAAATCCAAACTAATATTGAACTAGAGAACAATACATCGAGTATGTACCTCTTTATATAGTGAACGGCGATGGTCAGACCGAGAAAGGGAAGAACTGAGAAAGTGGTCTGACCAGCTAGCTAACCAATAAGAAAAAAGGAGAAGGTGGTCTGATCTATCGTATTTACTAATCGTATGAGAAAACGTATTGGTAAGGGATGTGCGATTGGCTGTATCAGTAAGCCCATGAGAAGGCGCTGACTCACAACCTTCTTCGCTTATCAATATTCCTCCGAAGTATTCCCAGACATAGCACTGGATTGTGGCTATGTCATCTGGATATCTTCTCGAGGGTCAACAACAAGTCTACCTCGTTGTAGGTACGATAGAACGTGAGTGTGAAGAGAGAATAAGAAGAAAAATGATAAAAGTAATAAGACACCTGCTGTAATCTCTAGTCCAAGGGCAAGAGGAGTGACGGGGATCGAGTCTGCTAACCACGACATGACGGGAATGCGATAAGAAAAATCAATTCCTCACACTCCTCGGATGGTGATAAAAACAAACCCTGATGTTGATCGAGACGTGTCTGGGTCTCCAGACCAATCTGCATCTGAATATCCATAGAAATCCATGTCCATGGAGACATCTGTGCCATCATATCGTAGTTCCATGTCCCTGGTTGCTTTCAGATATTGGAAGACACATTTTGCAGCTTCCCAGTGATGGCTCCTTGGAGCTGAGCTATGCCTGCTTAGTATTCCAACGACATAGGCAATGTCTGGGCGGGTTCTGAGCATGGCATACATGAGGGAGCCTACAATTGAGAGGTATGACACTTGACGCCCTTCAATATGCATCTCGTGTTGCACAATATCTTCCCCTGGAGCATTTGCAAGGAGTTTTGATCCATGGGCCATTGGTGTCCATACTGGTTTGCAGTTCTTCATTCCAGTATGCTCCAGGACTGTGTCAATGTATTGGCGTTGCAATAGGGATATTGTTTTGTTTGAACAATCACGTTGGATTTCTATTCCAAGGATGTATTTTGCTTCTCCAAGGTCCTGCTGTCGATGATGAGAACTGTTGTTAGAAAACCACACACAAAAACAAACTAACACACAATCCTCCCAGATTCCACGGAACTTGTTTATGGGCTTTGCCTCCTAGAACAGTGGGTGCTCTGGTTGTTCGTGGGGTGGTATGTATGAAGATCCTTCAAAGTAAAACCCAGAGATGTATGGGTGTGGGTTTTGAGGAGGAGGGATAGTTGGAATATAGAAAGATAGGGGCTTTGTGGCGAGTATAGATGGGCACTACCTTGCTAATTGTAGCACAAGGTAGGTTTGAGAATGACAAGATGATGAGGTTCCCAGTGATAGCAGGCTCCTGACACACAAACTGTAGTGCTCAGAAGGACTCTAATTGAAAGGGATGACAATGACTTCAAAAGTGGGAAGTGACGATGACAGCAGTTAATGGTAGTAGCAGTGAGAAGTGTTGTGACCACACTGGATCACAAGCAGCAGAGTAGTGAACTTGATATTAGAGAAGAAGTCTGGAATGGAGTTCTTGTTTTTTTTACAAGGTAAAATACAGGGGTTTATATAGTAAAAGAAAAGTAGGCTATGCACAGTATAGCTGTGCAAAAAGAATGAGAAAGAACATGAAGGAAGGAATGTACGCTGACGAATCTGGCGTAGGTAGTACAGGATAAGATTGTCAAAAAAAGGAAAAGAAAGGGATAGAACAATGAATGCTGTGAGTAATGTCACAGGTTTGTACAGCCATAAAGTAAAGTCCAATAGCAAAAAGAGAGCAGGAAAATCATGATGTCGTGGGAAGACACAGTAAAAAAAAAGGGGCAAAGCAAAACACTATCAGTATCAACACAGTTCCCTTATTGTCAGTCAGGCATTCTAAAAAATATGTGTCCATAAAAATGATTCAAAAATCAAAAATAATTGCACTGTAAATGAATGTTCTGCTGAAAAAAAAGAAACTGGAGCCACCGGTCCACCACCTAGTCCAAATCCGACAGTTCCATGGCCTTACCAATGGACTGGTTGTGTTGGACCACCTGGTCAAACGAGGGAGGGAGAAGAGTAGTCCCAATTTGGAACAAGTGAGTCCCAGGCAGCGTGTGGTAGCTGTAGCTGTAGCGAAGACGATGGACAAAAGATAAGTGTACCCAAGTGAATGGGACAGTGATGAACATGGGCGACGCAAGGGGATGAACCTTCTCCAGCTCAAAAACTACCCACCCACGCTCCAACCAGGCAAGACGAGCAACCAATGTTTTGATAATATATGATGGTAGATCGATGTCATAAAGATGGACCTGTTGCCCTATTTGAACCGGCCGCCGGGGCTTTGCTGATATCAGCAGTGGCACGTGGTAGTCAACAGATCGGCGATAGAAGCGGATAGGAAGTGGTGACATCAGAAATGGTGGGGGAGCAAAGAAGATGAGGAGGAGGAGGCTGGAGGTGATGAGGAGGTGAACTAAAATGGGGATCCAGAAACGACCATCGGGTGAGAATAAAAACGAGAGTAAGGGACCCATGGTGAGGCTAGGCAAAGGAAGGGAAGTGAAGGAAACGACAAAAGCGAGGGCGCAATGCAATGTGTAGCCAGTGGCGACGTAAAAATTTGCCAAAATGCCAAAACGCGGAAAGTACTGAATGGAAAAGCAAAGGTGAGCATGACTGGATTGCCTAATAGAGGTGGTGCTGATCAGCCACAAGTTCAAAAAAGGCAATATTAATTACTATTCCACGTGGCACTGTGCCTGTGTGGCGCAAAGGCAAGTCTTTTTGAATATTCACTTCGTTATTGACACCTGTCCATGCTACCAATCAACTTTGGTGCATAACAGTGGTCTACTTGTTAAGCTGTCAACTCTTCTCCAACAGGAGGAAGCAAGTACCCAGCCTAGTCAGAGGAACACGAAGAAGTTTGTATTTAATATATAAGCACCAGAGATTCTACACCACTGATGTCACTAAGTACTCCCCTTAATGCTAGGAGCTGTATACCTGGATTCTATGTTATGGGACATAATTTTTGAACTTTTAACTTTCATTCTCCACTTTAACTTTCATTATCGTTTTTGGACACTTGTGCCATGCAACACTTTCCTTTGTTTTCAAACTCCTATTTTACTTTTGCTTTCTCTTGCTACACTGCCTCCTTTTATTTACAATACTCTCACATGGTGGAGCTGGTCACAAGGACTGCACCCTATCAATCAAGGGACCTCCTTAGCAAGTCCTCCTGTTGTTTACCCACAACTAACTTGATCCTACCCTAAGGGAGAATATCCTCTCCTTCACTTACTCTTCTTTGCTTGTTGTGTAGAAATTATATTACATAAGCAAACTTTGGAGCTTCGCCCGAAGATTTACTCTGTGATTATAACCGGCTTTTTGTGGCCACCATTGTTCTTTCACATGATATTTACATATGTTTGTTATATAAGAAGCATGTATTTACGTTGTTACGGCATTTGTTTGCCAAAGGAATCCCTCTCCTGCGCCTGTTCCCACGCCCTGAGGGACCGAATATCCAACATGTTGTAGTAGTGTGCCAGAGTCTACCAACTTTGGTTGTAACATTGTCTATTTCCCTTGCCGAAAGAGCTCGCCTTGCATTTCTTTGTGCAACATTCAACATTATACTGTGATAACCAAGGAACAATAGCCCTTTTGAAAAACAACAAATTTCACCCTCACATCAAACATATTGATATTTGATACAATTTCATTCAAGAAACTTTTGCTCTCCAAAAGAGATGATAGCTGACATTTTCACCAAGTCTCTTCCTAAAGCCAAATATAATATATTTACATACATGATGGGACTATGCTAGGTTCAAAGGGTAGTGTTAGAATACATGACCCATACCATAGGCTCTGTATCCTGAGTACTCCATTTACTAGTGTGTACAGTCACATAGAGCCCAAACATTGGACCACAGTCTCAACTACCTTATAGCTTTAGCAAAGCAGACCATCAAAGCGGTTCATCCCTGCGCCAACTATAAAGGGGATTGGCTTATCACTGGTACCACCATTGATAATACAAGAAAATTGATTTATCCAAAAAAAAAAAACAATATCGTTACATATCTTTCACATCAACGAAGAGCTTCTGTACTCTAGACATTCTTGATACCCAAATCTTCGCCAATGATAACGGCAGCTTTCTCGCCGATTACCAGAGCGGTAGAGTAGGTGTTCTAGAAACAGCATACTATCAGGACTGTACACATTATGAAATACAGTTGAACCTACAGCGGCAACATTACCAGGAGCGATCGAAAGATCTGATGCGCATATATCAGCATATTTTTGCGTTATGAAGCTGGGAAACGAGTATACCTGCTACTTTGAGCCCTTCCACTCCATAAACATTCAAACGTTGATCAACAACTCCTCCTTGCTCGCGAGGCTTCATCGAGCATGTCCCAAGCTAATCGTCATTGTCAGTTGGTCGCTAACTGTGGCTACTTCCTACTGAAAACTCACTGAATGCCAAGCAGTTTGAACTATGGATAGCGTTTTTAGACAGATTCAGCCAGCACGAAGAAACTAATGGAACATACCGTAATTTCGGTTATATGCCTCAATGGCCTTTTCATCCTCTGGCGTATAAGCAATGACGGGGGCAGAAACATCGACAGGGCCATGGTGGTCTTTACAAACGGCCTCGCTTCCCGTAGGGAATGTTGGATTTCCAGGAGTAAACTCGCCTCGATAAAGGCCCATTCGACGGGCAAATTCACGAGCCTTCTTGTAGCCCCAGCGTAAGGTTGCTACGTCGGCGGGACTAGCCATACAAGATTAATGTTGTCACAGGGAGGAGTGTAAGGCTGAAGCTTACTCGCTCAAAAAACCTGGCGTGAAGTCTGGGGCTGCATGAGGATCCTGCCCCGATTTGATGTGTACATTTCCAAGTGACACCGGGTATTGCTGCAGATACCTTATAAGACTTGTATCACCCATCATATCTGACTATAGCTCACCGTGAAATAGCCGACGCTGTAGTATTTGCGAGCAGAGGCAACGGAAGGGTCGCCGAGATAACTGATATGGAAAAATGCGCAATCAGTTGTATTCGAGAAAAATGGTTGCAATAATTACCATGAGACCGAGCCGATCCAAATCACCGGTTTGTCGGGAGCGTTCGCGAAGTACGTTTTCCATCGATGTTCAAATGCGGGACCCAGTTCTTTAAGGTCCTCCGCGTTCGGCCGTATTTTGATACCCGCATCCATACCACTATGGAAGGTCAGTAAAAGCCAGTAACGTATTTTCAAGGCTTACTTATGGGCCATCAATCCTTTTCCTTCACCTGCCCACTGCGCAACACATTCTGAAAAAGAAAGACGTTAACGTACCGTACGATACTATAGAGACAAAAGACTGACTGTCCACTTCTTCCTTCTCTCCCCGGAATAAAGCATCCAGGGTTTCCGCATCGTCACTTGCCAAGTAAGGGACGAAAACAACGTTATGGTCTGTGATCCAATACTGAGAAGATCCATAGATATTTAAGCCCGGATGACCTACCTTGATAGTTTTCACCCACTCCTGGGAGATCAACGATCTCCTTAACCCCACTCTGCTCTAACACACTCTTTGCTCCAATACCGGACCTTTCTAGAATAGTCGGCGACCCAAATGCTCCGGCCGAAACAACCACCAGTCGTGATGCTCGGACGGAGTGAATGGCCTTGTCTCCATCGGGGTGGTTGACAATATCGTCTGTGTACTCTACACCTACAGCACGATTGTTCCTGATACCAAACTTAGATGAAAATGTACACTGTACCTGTGAAAGCTAATACTCACTCGATTATAACTCGTTTAACGCGTTTACCATCGATGACTTCAAGGTTGCTAAAGTTGCGGTTGTAGATGAAGTGATGAGGGACGTCCGATCGCTTTCCTGTCTTACCATCAATCCACCTAGGAGTGTAGAATATATTTCAACGCTCTCAGATAATATAAACAAAGAATATATGCCTTACTTTTGCCATCGCTAGAAAAATCATTATTTTCAATATTGTTCTACTGTCATCCAGGTACAAGGGGATAACTTACTCCATAAGCATTACAAGAGAATAGACCATTGATATCTTCAGTGAAACCCCGTTCCTTGTCAAATTCTGATGCGACATCCAAGAACTGCTTTCCGACATTGGTATATGCCCCTCCATATGAAACTTTCAGTGGCCCGGAGTATCCGTGAGTAGGCTCATTGGTCTTGACTTCGTAAGTTTCGGTCTATAGTTAGAAAAGACATTTATGTAGGAATCGATTGATCAGCTATGGGAAAGCTTGCACAACGAGGGGACATAAACGTACCTTTTTCAGCAGAGGGATCAGGTCCTTGGAACCCCAACCGGCATTCCCATGGACCGTCTCCCAGTCATCGTAATCAGACGCTGCGGCACGTGTATACATGGTGACTTTGAACACATCGTGAGCAATTGTACTCAGGCCCATAGTAATCAGGACGTACAGTTCACGCTAGAGCCACCTCCTACACATCGACCAGAAGGTGTCACCAAGGCTCGACCGTTGAGTTCTTTGCTCGGATTCCCTACATTAAATGTCACGGTTTTGCTGGTGGGAGCCAAATGGCTGAAGTAGCGTGCTGGTTGAGTATGCGCATCGATGTTGCGTGTATGGAGGCCTTGCTCTAAGACCAGTATCTTCAGCGAAGGGTCTGCGGTGGCAAGTCGGCTGGCTGCCAGACAGCCCGCGGCACCACCTGCGTTACATGGTGAGCTCTGGAGAGTATGATAGAAGCCTTAGATATAGTACCTCCTGCAAAGATGATATCGTATTCGGTCAAAGAAGGTTGCGACATGGCAGATGTGCAGACAGCAAGTAACACGAACAGAGAAGGTAGTGTGAGAGATTAAGAATTACAGTCACACTGGATCCGTCGCAGCTGCGTATTTATTGTGGAGGCAATTCAGATCTTCTTTTGAAGCGAAACAAACATATCAAACAACGTTAGACCAGCACCCGATTGTTACTGATAACGGATGATTATAATCTTTACGTTAACAGGTGACTGTGGATGAAAACAGGAAAATGGTACTCTTCCCCAGGCGCCACCACTTCGCCAGGTCTTGATCCGGCGGTATGACTAATCAAAAACAACATGATCAGACACGCATGCAATGAATGAATTTGATCCACTCCCCTCTTTATTTTCTAGTGATCCAGGAGGATGCAGCAGGTACCACTTTATAACCACTATAGGCTCTGAATACTCTGAATAGTGTGAGATCTGAATAATCACACATTGGAAACGTCTCAAAGCAAACTTTAAGATCTAGAAATATACCTTCAGGAGGTAGGGTCATCGAAGTTTGAGGGTTTAGAGGGAGGGTTTAGAGAGCCTACAGGATCGTGCGTTCTAGAAAAGCGACGCGTCCTGTCGCAGACTTCGTTTTCCGTGGAAAAGTCAAAGGCACTATGTTCAGGGTAAAATAAGAGGCAAAATGGTAAGCATCTCGCTTAGCCTATCGTTGTCATATGTACACAGACAGTTTGGAAATGCTTACTGCACAAGCAACCTGTAGTTATACTGTAGTTACCAGACATGTCCTTTGAGAACATGCCGTCCATCGATGTATGTGATATGAAAACACGAAGCTCCACGCCCTCCGAAGAACGATTACAGCGGAACTGCACGTCGCCAAATCAGGCCGCCTGAGGCTGCTACAAGAAGGTAATCGTAAGTCTACTTCACGTAGTAGGCATGAAACCAACTTACCAATGCGGGGGAATCAATGTATTTTCATTGTTGCTAGACTCCATTTACCGATCATCGTACATGAATAGCAATTGGCATGGAATCAAGATTATTGCTGGAGGAGAACCACGATTGATATGTTAATGCTAACCATGATAAAGTGTTCGTCCTACAATATCGCGTGTTAGTGATTACGGCGACCTGTGCTATCCTTATAAAGTTCTTTGATGCAGAGTTAAACGAAGGATTGTTTATAGAGATAGGTATACAGAAGCAAAATAAAGGGACATTACGGTACAGCGATCTTCGGACTTGAGAAGTTTTATCCTCTCGTGACGGTCAGAACGCTTGTTGCAAGACACATATACGAGCTCTGCCCCATCTGACTTGAATTGAATAGCGACCATCGGTTCCAGGCCGCGAAACCTACATTACATGGTAATACTAGAATCCTGCTTTTCGATGACAGAAAAGTCTGTATGGTCTGGTACTTCGGCAGGCAATAGATTAGCAGCAGGTGCCAGTGCGGTTGCTTTCCAGCCACTTCTGAACGATGCTATTCCGGCTATCAGTCCAAATAAGCCAACCCAGACCTGACGGAATATATGCGGTCAAATTAACATTTCTAAGTCAACCATACACATGTGTCACGAAGGCCGTACCTCGTCTTTGAACAAGCCCTGTTCCAGTGACCTAACAACGTATGGTGTGTTCACAAAAATAACTCCAACAAGAAGGATAGACTCACCAGTGAATTGTCAGGGGTAGATAACCGACGTTGACGATGAACTCATTCCAGTACGCATCCCACCTGTTGCGAATGTCCTCTTTCTCCTCGGGGGCGAGTCCTTTTCCTTTCTTCAAGTTCTTCTCCCGAAGTTTTAGTAATTTCCTATCCTCGCTGAGATGAGCAAACTGGAGAAACACGTATATCGCCCAAAATCGGCAAGACCATAAGCTCAGCGCGTTTGCATTCAAAGACGTCGGTTTGGAAGAGCGATTGAAGAAGGAAGCGACAGAGGGAATGATAGCAGGTATCAGTTCGTGTGCACGCAGATAGTAAAGGTGCTCGAGAGGATAATAAACTAGCATCGACCAGCCTTGGAGTCGCTCGATAGTGAGTAGCTTTCGTGTTGGTGGTGGGTTACGTTCCATGGAAATTAGCCATTGCACAATAGGAAGAATACCCCATAGTCTCCACAGCATCTTCGAATCACTGATGAGTCCATCGAACTTCTTTAACGACTGAGCAGTATAGCTAGAAGTATCCTTCCTAAGACCAGCACGATGCTGAAGTCGAGAACGCATATTGAGGAATGGGATAACTAGTTTGATGGCATATTGTATGATCTTCATGTAAACCAAAGTTAAGTCTGTGCCCATAAGCTAGGATAGGCAGTCATTACCATTAAAAATTTGCTACGAAATGACAGATGATAAGCCCAGAAAATCAAGGATAGCGTCGTAGAGATACTTACTCGCTACCACTCCATGTACTGAGATATCGAATAAGGTGGTCCAGGGTTTCTGAAGATGGTACAAAAGCAAATGACCCCAATACGATATCGTTCAGCCGTGCGAGATTCAACTGTTTGCGCGACATTGGTACGATTTGCTTCCTCTGGCCTGTATATGATGTCGAGGGCGAGGTGTGAGTTGTATAGGACCTAAAGAGATATGCGCGCTGGCCATGTCCGATGTCTCATGATACTTTTCAACCTGAAGTGGCATCCCGGCGCTGCTCCGAAGCCCGGAGACTAAATTACCCGTGGGACAAGCTTACCAATACTATGCAGCAGTATTACTATATAAACCCTTCTCTCTCTGCTTTATTTTCTTTGAACAATTTCTGAGGACACAAAAGTTCGGGCTTGGTACAAGCTTTTCCGCCTCCTTGTCCGCGTTCCCGTCCTCTAGAATGATGCCAAACGTTGTATCATAATGTTCAGTCTATTCTTGCGGTTGGATTATCCTTGCTTGACTGGTCTATTTCTGCTCTGGAGGCATCGCTTCGGCTGAGGCTCATGATTGACAGGAACTGAAGGGAAGGGATAACCTGATCTTGGGGAGACTTACAAATCGCCGTCATTTATACCATTTTTATATCTTTTGATTATTGGAAATATATTTATTTGCTTGTTTCTTAGTATCTGTTTGCTGTGTGCTCATTCCTCAGTCGTTGTTCCAAAGATCTCGCATTTCGCTGTTGTCAATTCTTTGAATCAGTTGCTTCGCTTCGCTTACCACCAAGCAACATTGTAGTGCTCGTTCTGAGGAGTGGAACCTCTGGATGAAGGTATAGGCAACTCACGGGGCGTCAGAGCCGCCGTTGGCTGTCGACGACAATGGTCATGTGTCGAGACTTCGTTGATTCTCATGTGCTTTTCCCTGGTGGTCGAACACCCTCGCAGGCCATGTGCTTAAACGGATCAAGCAGTGACAAGAAAAGCACCATCCTCACGGTATATAGATATAGAGTCGTCGCACAGACACTTTAGTTCCAGCGACAAAATCCCGAAGTGACATAGTCAAGCCGACTATAAAGTGAGTGGTCGATGTAATGTTGCTATTAGCTCGGCGACGACTCCATTTGTCACCATGATATTTTCCTTAGGGTTTGCTACTCTTCTTTCTCTGCTGCAGGTTGCGACGGCGCAAACCACCACGGCCACGAGCACCGCGCCTGGCGCTACCTCAACCGTTCCGCTTAACTATGCTGCTCAAGCTGCGGGAAAGCTCTACTTTGGTTCAGCAACGGACAATCCAGAGCTCACGGATGTGCCCTATGTCACCATCTTAAACGATACTGCGATGTTCGGGCAGCTGACACCTGGCAACAGTATGAAATGGGTACGTTCCCATGACATGACCCAGCAGACTTACAGTCAAAAGGGTGGTCTTGATTCTTAAGCTAATATACGCAGGATGCCATTGAACCCGAGCAAAATGTCTTCAACTTCACTGGAGGTGACCAAATTGTCGCTCTCGCTGAAGGGACTGGTAAAATCATGAGAGGTGAGTAGCAGCTTTAGTTTCTAGACTGAATACGTGATGAACTATTTTAACGGGCAGGCCATAATCTCGTGTGGTACTCGCAGCTTCCGGCTTGGGTCACTGCCACCGCTTGGACTGCTGATGAATTGACATCCATCATCCAAACACACGTTACAACCGAGGTGTCTCATTATGTCGGAAAGATGTGAGTGAGAATCTTATGCGTGTTTTAACCGTACTCAAATCATTTCCAGCTGTAAGTTTATTGACCTGTTGATCTGCTATGGTTTTTTAACTCTTGACGGATATAAGATGCTTGGGACGTTATCAACGGTATGAAGGATTGTGTTAGCCGCGTTTAAAACGAAGCATTTACGAAACTCGTTTTAAGAACCTTTGAATGACAACGGAACCTTCCGCTCTGACATCTTCTACGACACGCTTGGGTCATCGTACATCTCAATCGCCCTTCGTGCCGCTCGTGCTGCGGATCCCAATGCTAAACTTTACATCAACGAGTACAACCTTGAATATTCCGGTTTGTCTCCATGTCTCTCTAGCGATGATCGTGGCTTTGACAATATTGGAATTAGGCCCGAAGATCGACGCTATGGTTCAGCTAGTGTCCGACCTCAAGGCAGAAGGAGTTCCCATCGATGGAATCGGTATTGAAAGTCACTACATCCTTGGAGAAGTCAGCGCCTCCGAATTGAAAGCCAACATGCTGAACCTTACCTCCCTCGGTGTTGATGTCGCCTTCACTGAGCTCGATGTCCGTATCGAGCTTCCTGCTACGGATGCTGACTTGGAACAACAGAAATCAGACTATACGACAATCGTCTCTGTCTGTATGGAAGTCGCCGACTGCGTTGGTGTCACCGTTTGGGACTACACTGACAAGGTAAACGCTCTATTTTTTTAGATTCCAGGACAGTATGCTGAACTTTTATTTACAATGTAGTATTCTTGGATTCCTGCCTCATTCCCTGGTTACGGCGAAGCTTGCCCGTGGGACGAGGTAAGCTCCTATTATAAATCTATAGTGATATTATGCTAATACACAGTCTCAGAACTTGGTCAAGAAGCCTGCATATGATGGCATTGTAGCTGGACTTCAGTCTTAAAAAGGTTACAATATCTGGTCATACAATTTGCACATATTTATTTATTGGACAGTCAAAGATGTCACTACCAGTTTGAACGGAATATATCAGTACAGTGTCTGTTTCTCGCGATATTTTGACACCGCTCCAGGAGTCATCAGTCCACTAAAATTACAAGAAAATAAAATTTTACAATACAGTACACGGAAACCTGAAGGCAAAAGCCAGGCACACCATTTGCGCGAAACAGTTCCTACTGTTGTTTTACACCATCAACCCAAACATCGACTTTCTCGTCGTAAAAAGCTAAAAATCCGGTGATTTGGCCACACTCAGGCTGTGCAGTTCGGTAATACCAAACCACATCTCGATGCACTTCACCATTCGGAAGCTCCACGTTATAATAATTCGCCACTCCCTGTAGAATTACCTATCAGCCTCGAGTTCGGAAAATAGATGTAGGAAAACGGCAAACCTTGTATGGGCATTGTGTGGTTGTGTCCGAAGGTCTCAGCAAGTCTACTCGGACATCTGTGAGAGGAATATACGTCCTAACACGGAGGAGGGTTTCGAACAGCAACCGAGGCTTATGTGTATTTGCAACTTCGACCCCATTGATCTCGACTCGAACATGACGAGAAGATTGCAAGACGTCAACCCTCTACACTCAACAAAACGAGGTCAACGTAATGCAGTGAGGATGACTGCGAAAAGGTCAATCACCTTATAAGGGTCCTTCGGGTGAACATAGATTTGTTCGTCTTCTTCTAACCACGCATCCGCAACCGAAAAGGCTACTTTCAGCAAGCCAGCTAAATCCTCGGTACCGCTCCCCTTGCCTGTGAACTCCTTCACGGCTGCTTTGGCATGTCGGTCTCCCACGACGAGATCATAGATTTTCACTCCCTCCTCGCCGGTAGCTGCTTGCGTTTCACGGAGATAAGTAGGTGAAAGGTCGGATACCGGGAAGTAGTAGGAAGGATAGTATGCGTGTTCCCAACTATGCGAAAGTCAGACAGCCATTTTTACGACAGGTACAGTGAAACGCACACAAGTTTCGCATTGAGAGTGTCGACGATGTATTTGCCGTGAAAGAGTACTCTGATACGCTTCGGGCATGGCTCAATGCGCGGCTTAGGTCCTTGGTGTGCCATGATGCTGAAGATAGGAGCTCGATGTAAACCTCGGTTGAAGAGAGGTAGCGAAGAAACAAGCGTCAGCCTGAGATGTTTATAACTTCTGTTAAACAGACCGAGGCTCCAAGATAGCTGGATGAGGGATGACAAAGAGCTTACTGAGCGTCAGCATTACTCAGATGCACAATTACTAAGGCAAGAGTCAACGATGACCGAATACCTTAAACGGCGTCCTAGGAGCCAAGGGTTTCCCAGTCAAGAATCGGCAGTAACCCTTATCTTAGGAATGTGGGTTGGAACATCGCATACATGCATTTTGGCGATCGACCACCATGAAAGACGACAGTGACTGAAATCTGTTCAATGGGATGTGAGTTTCCAATGAATTGATTAGTAAAACAATTTTATTTCTCACCATACTAGTTTATCACAAGAGCACGAGACCAACCAAAACTTATGTTCGTAGAAGTCATACCGGATAGCAGACACCGATGGACAAAATCTCGCGAAAAATAAGATTTTCATTGACAGTCCAACCAAGAAATATATCTGACATAACAAAACAACGAACAGATAGTCAAGGATAACGAGAACACATGGATAGGAAATTGTCCGCACGCCGATCACCTACTCTTCATCATCGCTCTCATCATCATCTGCCTCCTCCAACCACTTCAAGAAAGGCTCACTCGCTTTCCTAACCTTCTTACTAACCTCCTTATCAACATACTTTTTGCTTACATGAGTTCCCCACTGCATAACAACTTCTTCCTCGATTATATCTGTCTGATATAAAGCCATCAAGATTTTTGGAACACTTGGAATTAGTTCAGGGTGGGTGAGCCCAACAAGACGTTCGATACCGCCAAGAAGAGCTTTTTGATGTTTCTCCGAAGTGACCATCTAACGAACACATCAGCCATAACGCTAGCATTACATGTATATCCGACCTCACCTTGGCCAACAGAGCTTTGTATGTCTCGATTTCTTTGACCACGTCTTCTGTGAACAAAGCCTGTACGAGAACGAGCACTGTTTTATGCTTTTTCTCCACTCCAAATTCTTGTGCCTTCTTGTAAATTTGAACAGCACCAATATCGTCGTCATCGCGATTCTCCTCAACCCAGCGACCAAATTGCGCATAAGGACTATCTGCATCTTCGTCGCTATCATCATCGCCTAAGCCCCCAGCAGGAGTGAGAGAAAGGCCAGCGACAGAGCCCTCCAATGCTTTAACCCGGGCTTTGACAGCTTCAGCGGAAGTATCAGCTGACCAGTCTTCCTTGGCAAGCTTTGTTTCAGTGTTAAGGTCTGCAGCCTCTGCCTTGATCTTTTTGGTAAGCTCGTCGTCGGACTCGCCGCCATCGTCGCCGTCATTTTCATCATCTCCAGGAACATCGGGAGCTGAAGCATGAACGCCACCTCCATTCCCATTTGCCTCGCCCTTGGCATTCTTCTTGCTTTTCTTAGGATTCTTGGGCGGGTTCTTGACAATGAAAGTTGTTAGTTTGTGCCTCATGTCTACACCGGTCCGCTCTCCACAAGCTTTGCAGTCCCTCACGATGTCCTCAGTCCTTCCACTCTTAAGAATGATGAGGTCGGTCTCGGGGTTCTTGCACGAACGACAGAGCACGAACTTGTCGATGAAGCCATCAAGAAGCTCTCGCAACCTAATGGCATCGTGTGCACCGTTGACGATGTAACGATCGTTCTTTTCATCAAAGGAAGTCTGTGCGCCAAGCTCGCAGCCAAAGAACTTGGTGGTGTAGGTGGGAGGGCGAGAGAGCGCTCGGGCTACGTCAGACATATTCGGGATGACGGTCTTGATGCCGTTACCCTTACCCTCGATTTTAGTGAGGAGGACTGGCATGCGGTAGCGATAGAATTTGTCGTCGACATCGCGACGGATATTAACAATTCCTGCGGCCATACTGGGCAATATCTTAACGCTAAAAAAAATTCAACAAATATTAAATGGATCAGGTTATGTTCCAAACAGGGTGCAGGCTAAGTGACATACTGTACTTATAAAACCAGATCTAAACAAACACTTATACGATGGATAGTCAAGTGGAGGTCGAAGCATGAAATTTGATCCTCTGTTTTCGCCTTGACAGGAACAGAAGATGGAGGTGAAGGCGGTTGGAGAAGAAATCGTGAACTTGTGTGAATTTACGAGATTTGTAAACAAGTTTTATGTGAAGAGAAGTAGGAGTGGTGACCCTTTGGACTGTGAGGACAGCAGAAAAGGTCGCTGGTGGTGGTGGTGTGGTGGAGGGTTAAGAAAAGCTGATTTATGTGTCGGTGCAACTTTCAGTAAGCCCGGAGTTCCCCGGATGATTAAGCGACGTGCACCGCCCGTGATCAGCTTCCGCCTCGAGCACACTTTCCTCGCTAACCAGTTACAAATGGGTCTCGGGGCATAGAAAACATTAAGGCTACCTTGATAGACCATAGAATTCACTTTGGTTCTTGCAAATGAAAAAGAATCTGCAAGTACGTATACCCTGTCGTTCTTCCGGGTCCGATGCTCATTTTGGCATAGCATAGTCATGAACAATAGGAATTGCCACTCTCGATTTGAGTGGTATGTGGGATGGCTTTCCCAGACTTGTATCTCGTCTTTGGGCAATGCATCCATACATGCAACTTCTCCTCCACAATAAACCTCCCATTAATATGTCCTTTCATGTGTGGCGGGCGGCGATAGTTATCACACTATTGTCACTCACTTCACTAAAGAGCGACAGAAGCTGCGAGCCCAGCATATATATGGTCCTGCAACGATGTGGCTGTAGTCTCTCCAAGGCGAACTGTATCATGTCCCTGTGCCTTGTCACCTTGATGATATTGACATACTGCGCTGTCCTTATCAGCTCACCAAGTCCACGCTGTCAATTCAATGTGAATATCAGTTTAGTTATCTAGCAGAAAGCCCAAGGACCGTATCGTTCAAGCAATACTCAATACTTTAAGTTATGAACTGTCCCAAGGACCGTGACATGTGCAATCTAGAGGTGGGAGCTGTCCAGTCATTTGTGTATAGTACTCGAGTACAGTATAGTAAGCAAGGTCAGGTCATTCCAGGTTGGTAATGCATCACAGGAACAATCCCACCATAGCTCCAAGTAGCAAACACAAGAATTCAGCTGACTGCAGGTAGCATACGCACGATTACCTGGATGTGAAACTCAGTTGAAGTAGTAGAGACTGCTGCAATTGCAGCCATTCATTCATCCTGGTCCGGATCGCAACCAGGTGGCACAGCGATTGTGTTCCTTCAACTTCCTTGTTTTATACTATTCCTGCCAGTGATGACAAGACTAAAAAAAAAAGTACAACAATTATCCGAGTATCGTTCCATACACTGATCTCTCATAGTTTACAATTGGGGCCGGAATCACCGTGAGCATCAGAACGAATATTTTGACATAGTCAAGCCGCAAGCTGCTTCGCGACCTCAGCATCAATTCCTTGCGGAGTAGTCGTCGATGCCCAGCGTTGCACGACGTTACCCTTCTTGTCAATCAAGAACTTCTCGAAATTCCACTGCAAACCAAGCCGTGAGTTAGAAACCAATCGTGCAGAAATGAACCACATAGCTCACCTTGATTCTCGATAATCCTAAGAGGCCAGATTTCTGGTTCTTGAGCCAGGAGAAGACGGCGTTCGTGTTGTCCCCATTAACGTCGGCCTTCTTCATCAGAGGGAAAGATACGCCGTGATTGATGGTACAGAATTCGGCGATGGAAGCATCGTCATCAGGTTCTTGGCCACCAAACTGGAGGGGAGGGACGTGATATGAGTGTACTGATACTTGCCCAACGGGATTATTATACAGACCTGATTGCATGGGAATCCCAAAATAATGAATCCTTGATCCTTGTACTTGTCGTATAATGACTGAAGACCTGATAGGAGTGAAAGGCGGTAAATAACTGGGTCAGATAAGAAGGACAATAAGAGGACCTTTATACTGCGGTGTGAATCCACTGCATTAGGAATAACAGATAGGTAAGACAAATAGTAACCGTAGGGTATTCCAGAAGAAAAGAAGAAAAGTGGTAAACGCGTTCTCGTTCGAATCGTACATTCGATTTGCGCAAAGTACGTGGTCCAAGGTAAATACGGCCCGCATAAGCCCATATTGCAAAGCAGAGGACTGTCAAAAGGGTAAAACTGGAACGCACCACTGACTGGCAGTGTTGACAACCAGCACGACTTTGCCTTTCAGCTGATCAAAGTCATACGTAGTCCCATTCGGAAGCTCGGCTGCAAGGTCATAAAATGTAGTTGTAGGCATTTCTTTGTGTTCAGAGGTGGTGACGGCTTCAGTGTCTCCTTGTGTGTTTGAATGATAAAAGTTGGGTAAAAAAGACCGTTGAATCAGGCGAGATGTATTTATCGCAGGGTTGGGGTTATATATACTGCGGAACGCAACGAGACTGGAGCTCTTGTTGGAAAGCTGGCGATGATAGCAACAGAGATGGGCTGGATTCGTTGCTTTGCTTGAAGGTCTTGGATATCCCGGTAACTTCATTGGATGAACAGGACGGAATCTCGGGACACCGGATTGGAGATCGGAGCATCGGAACTTGCCGTTTTACCGCGGTTTATCTTATCTTATCTCTAGATAAAATGAGTCTTTGCCTGGGTCTGTACAAGTATTTTGTGCGCGAATATTATCATGCCAGAATCTCCTCCTGCAGAGTGTGCCCGGTCCCGAATTAATTTTTTCTAAGTCCTTGACCCCGTTGGCTTACTTGAGTATCGGTCATGGTCGGGCAGCAAGGGAGAACATTATATATCCAGCTTCTACTGACTCACCTCCCAACTCTCTAATGCCGAACAATAACGCTGTAGCGCTGTGAGTGCATCAGGAAATCGTGGTACGCTCAGATTGAGACGGCTTTTACATACTTACGGTCTGATCCAATTCAAATGCTTGCCTCGAGGTAGCTCGGATAGCTCCTTATGACCATTCAATTGAAAAAGCAAGGGGGCGGATTTCCCTGCTTGCAAGTTGACATGAGGCGGATGAATACACAGACCGTGCTGTAAGGTGAGCTCAGGCATGCCACGAATCCTCACGAAGCTTATAGCCGGAAGACGTAGTGAACCACAGGGGCTTTCTGATAGGCTAACACCAGTTGAGTAAGTCACGTCCATCTGCACGTGGTATACACAGCAGCATGGTGTTGCTTGTTGCTTGTGTTACGCAAATATTATGATGGTCGGGTTCACTTACTTCAATACATCATCCACCAGAGTTATGTTGGCCGACTCGCATCACATCTTTGACCTTCTACTTAATATGACTGTTTAAGATCGGCCTTAGCGATACCAGCGGCCACAGATATTCCAAGGTAATGGGCCGTCCAGTATTATTCTTAGTTTTCTTTCTAAATATAATTGATCTATTCGAACATTCCAAGCATTCCAGAAAAAAATGCTGAGTTATGATTTGATTGTACATTGGCAAGTAAAAGTTACATACAGTAGACTGGTATGGTATACATAGTGTGCGGTGATACTGAATTCAGTACATCAAACAAACTCAGCAAAAGACGTCGAACCAGTCAGTTTTACACATGCAGTCGTAATCATGACACCAAACAAGAAAGAAAGAAAGAATTTGGCATCAAATAGATGGGCATTCTTACCTACAGTCGCTATTACAACGTGTCCGTTAGCGCGGCCATTGGCACCTTCGTTAGCCTGACCATCCTCCACCTCCTTTGGTTGAGCATTTCTGTCATACAAGCTCCATGGTACTCTCTGATTTTCGTGGGCACTATGAAGGCCCGGTACGCCATCCAAACTCTGTAGATTGTTTTTTATCCAATAGGCTTTCAAGCCTTTGCTGTTTATTTCGGTAGACCCCTCCTCAACAGACTTTCGGTCAAAGAGCTCCAGTGAATCACACCAACGAGTCAGTTGGTCCCGGTGTGACTCGAATTTGTAATTGGGTACTGCATAACCACATGACTTGAGAAGACGACAAGTTAGAGAGTTGATGGTTACTGTTATCAGCGTATACTCACCGTTGTCACTTGATAAACATCTACTACTATTGCGGCTCGAGAACCAGGCTTGCGAGTTTCTGGGGGTATTAGCTCGTCGTATTCTAGAGAGCCATACTCATGTACGTGACCTAGTAGATAAGCGTTGAGTGAGCATGATTGAAGGACGCATCATGCAAACACATACCGGTACCGAATATTCTCAGTATTCTAGGTGGACCTTCGAAGGCGTTGAACATGATAGTAATCCTACCATTTTCTCGAAGGTGGGAAATAGTCTCGATACCTGGAACGCAATGCGTCGGTGATGAAACTCGTGAAGGACAAGAGACAGAACATACCACTGCCGGTGATATCTTCGTAGAAGACTTTATTTTGATTGAGGATTTGAAATGAGCCTGGCATAGATTTTGGAGAGAGATTGACATGGCCAGTTGGGTTTAGGGGAGCAGAGGCAGTCCAGAACATGTGTTGTTTATTGATCCATTCAGCAAGGTTGTCTGGAATGTGGTCGTAGTATTGTACCATGGTGGGAGAAAGCAAGTGGTTGGCAGTTTAACGAGGAGTGTGGCTGGTTAAATTGGGAGCCACGGTGATATGTGAGCCTTTTGTAGTACTACAAATAGCAATCCGGGCGAAAAAGAGTACGGAATGACGCACGTATTGAGACACATGTGGTAAATATCATCCCACATATGATTCTGAACGTCCGATAGCCCGAGCCCCTAGCGTAGGTACTTTTGTGGTCTGCACCTCGGATCGACTCGGAGATCCATCGTGTTGCACTCCCATAGTCTCGTTAAGTACGCTTTTACGAAGCTTCAATGGTCAGGTGGTGTGTGCTGTGACACTTGGGCGCTATCTGGTGCGATGCAGAAAGAATGTTATCAATTGGCCTGGTCAGGTTGAAGACGATTACGTCTCCGGGTCGGGTTAACGTTTACTCTGAAGTTTCGAGTTCCGTGAAATGTGTCATAAAAACATTGTTATTGCCTTTTCGGATCTGATAACGCATCGGCGACGACTTGAGCGCCTCAGCTATAACCGAGCTGAATGCCCGCTGGATGTTTGATACTGTGTTGTCAGCATTCAACATTACTCAACGCCTCCGTGAATCTCGTTTTCAGAAACACCAGCATTAATAATGTAGATCCATCGGACTCAATTTTATTCAAAGCACAAATTCAAGGTACAACAACTGCTAGCCACACTAGACGTACGATTCAATCCTTGCTTACAGAATATGTGATATGTACACCACTTGAACGGAGATGAAGTAGCAGGTATGATGCATAATACTGCATCATTGACTATTGAGACCTCCGTGAATGCAATACATTTTCGGCGTATATTATGACTTCTGACCATCGAACAATGACATTCGCGCATCATTTCCTCCCAGTTAGTGACATCATCTTGACTTGTCTTTCACGCTGAACGAATCGCAACAGAACATTAGCAACTATCACCGCGAACGGAAACACAATACCTACCTCATCGGTACCAATGGTGATCCTCAATCTCTCCACTTCTCTGGCACATTCCGCTACTCTGTCCTCCATTTGCGTCACATTCATTCTCTCCCCCTCCACTCGTTCGTTCTGAGCATTCACTTCCGCCTCTCGCCCTGCCCATCTTGCCTTTTCCTCGATGCAACGAGCTTCGGTCCGAGCCCGCTCCTCCGCAGCATGCGCTTTCTCTTCCAGATATTTGCTCTCAGCTTTTTGTGCTGCTGATAAAGCTTTGGCATAAGCTGACTGGGCTTTATTTTCCCGTTTGATGGCAGACTTGTGCAGAGCTTGAAGAGCAGACAGTGTACTGAGAGCAGATTCAAGAGCGGCTTTCTCGGTGCGTGCCTCGGTTTGAAGCAATTTTGAGAACCGCTTCGACTCCTTCTCTGCAAGATTTGATGGTCAGAACCATATGTGGAAAGTAAGTCAAGCTTTGACTTGACCTGACCAGGAAGGAGAGGTGCAGCACTCACTTTCAACCTTGACAATTTTCTCTTTCTGCTTGTCGCTTAAAGATCGGTCTGCGTCAGCTGCTCTGTAGTGTAAACTCTCATCAAGGTCCGGCTCTGCATTCGGGCCTGTCAGTGCAGCACCATTCATGAATGCTGCAGTAGCCCCCGAAACAGTCCCACTGGTGCGAATGCTTCTCCCCGTGAGACTTGTGCGAATTGACCCCCTTTTCGTGAGACCTCCACCTCCACCGTACATATTTCCCGAACCATGCCTAGTGGGCGAACCACCGCCAGATTCGGGGAGGGAGCGAAGTGAAAGAGTCGGAGACACTTTACGGTCATATCGAGGTTCTTTTGGAAAAGTCTCTCCATTGGCATCAGGGTCGGCGGTTGCTTCGCCGTTCAAATTCGTTGATCCATTCAGGGGCTGTTCTTGCATGTGGTGTTGTTGTGTTTGCTGAGTCTGCTTTTGTGGCTTGTATGAGCGGGAAAGTCGGTTTGGTTTGCTACCGTCGTTGAAATCACCATTCACGATTCCATTGGATCCATCTGGCGGTTGGTTCAAGACTGTGCCAGACTTGTCTGGAATAGCAGCGCTGTTTCTCTTAAGCATGTTTCCGGCAGTACTATCGCTGATGTTGTCGTCGTTGCTGGTGTCTGAAACGAAATGCATGATGGGTGCGTCAAAGTACTGAGTCTTTTCACTGGATGCAGTAGACGGACTTGGGTCGTGATTCATCGAGAATGTAAATTCCACTCGCGATTAACCAAATGACATAAATAGTTCCAGCCAACACGTACTGTCCTAATCCGGTATCTCGCCATTTCTACGTCACCTACGCCACTACGTCACAGCATCTCTCCTTCGTGATCCATCGCCTCTCTGGTCCATGAGCCATGGTCCGAGAGACCTACCAAAGGTCCTCGACCAGGTCCCGCTCTACCTCTATCACCAGCTCGTCATCAGCCTCGCTATACAGCGCTTTCACAATCTCCTGTTCCTTCCATCCTCCGCCCTTTACAGGTATCAGGTTGTATGTTATCGACAATGCCGACAGAACACCTCCATATGCGTGCGAAATGCCTAATTATGCTAGCTATCAGCCAACAGAGCCGTATCATTGCAGCTGTTTTCTTACCTGTGTCGATAATGATAGCCTTTCCCTCGCATCTGGACACAACGTGTTCAAAATTGGGCGTGTGACCCATGATCATCCTTCGTGTGCCTGTCTTCTGCAGCACTTCGTCTATTTGGCTGCATATCTTCGCCTCTTCACTCTCTGCCCACCCACGGTACCACAACGGTCCATCTGATCCATACAACCTCACTTCTTCGCGCGTCGATCCCGCAGGTAACCCTGGGTATGCATTGGGAGGATGCGGAGGAGGCTGCGGAGCCCGCTTCCGTAGCTTGTGTAGGAGAGACGACCCCAAATTGTTGATAGCACTTGGGAAAGGCACGAGATCCGGGTAGGTTGGTGCAAGGCCTCCATGAACGAACGCGAATGCAGCATGTGACAGTGGACCTGTGTTTGCTTTCTGGTGAGGGCTCGTGTTCGACGGCGGGTAGTCCGTGTTCGGTGGCCCCAGGGAGGGATGTAAAGGAAGGCGCGAGGCCACAGTATAGTTTGTCGCCCATGCTTTACCCAACCATCCCGATGACAATACCTTCTGTCGAGCTGCAACTCCACCAAATGACTCAATTTCAGCAGGGTACACATATCTAGTTCAGAGCTTGAGCACGATTCTGTGATGCAAATGTATCGAGTGCTTACCTCCAGTCACCTAAGAGTATTTGTAACACACAATCAGTACATACGCTTCAAACTAATAGTAGCGATACACACCAATAGCATTCATGATTTCGTGGTTACCGAGATGGGTCAGCATGATACCACCCACCGCTTCAGCTTGTTCTCGCAGCTCGTCAAACCATCTGAATAAGTCGATCGTATCATCTCCTCTATACGGAGACATCGTATGTGATAAATTAGTATGATTGTTTTTGTGCATGAGAGGTGTACTAAAAGACCCACCTGTCGATGACGTCTCCCGTCTGCACGAAAACATCCACCTTTCCGCTCCATTCATTGTTTTCATCGACAACCCCCGCCATTTGCAGTACCTTCTGTGCATTATCAAAATCTCCGTGTATATCCCCCACTGCTATGATGTGTCGTGAATACGGTGCACGCGCATCTGCGTGACCATTGCTTTCTACATCCACAACTTTTTCTGGCGACTGGTGTGTTGAAAGCTCATCGGTATTCTGTTGCCCAGTGGAGAATGGCGCCTGAATCTGAGCCTGCACGAATGTAACGAAAGTGGATACTGCTAGCGGAAGCTTGAAACCAAACGGAGATGCTGTGGCGAATGTTGCCAACGACGACTGTGCATAGAGTGCAAGAGAGAGGGCTAATAGAGGGAAAACAAGCAGCGAGAGTAGAGGCAAACGAGACATTTTAGTGCAAAATGTCGAACAGCCGGCTATTGGTGCCCAAGAAGAAAAAAGTAGACGTCGATGCCTAAGTATGTATCTGTCACTGTGCAATTCTGTCCAAGAGAAGAATGCCTGAAGTGAAAGACAGGCTTGCAGTCAGGACTGCAGTATATATCGTGTCGTTAAATCAATGAAGCTGCCCTTCTACACTCCAGCACTAGCAGCACACCGTTGATGATCACCAAGTATACAACGAGGACTAAGCGATCAAGTGGAGAATGCCGTAAACGAACAAGCAGTGCCACAAAGTACTTACACCAAAGTCAACGTTGCCAACGCGCGCCGACAGCTCTCAGCCACTTAAAAGTGCAACTTACAGTAGACACTGCCCCTATCGATCGCTGTGATATGGAACGTGTGCAGCTACTGTGCAGCTGTCTGTAACAAACCATCGTGTATGCCTACTGTTTAGTGGGTGGCGCAGAAAGATGAAATGTTCACCGAGGGCTTCCATCCTATTATCAAAGACGCCGCGTGGGAGGAGGGCTTAGACCAAGGCATGCAAGCAGGACAACGCAAGCAGGTGTACAACTCATAGCGTTGGGTATTGGATTATATCGCGAAAAAAATTTCAATCTCGCAGCTGCGGTCCCTGAACGGAAAGTGGCACGCCAATTGGAACCCCCTCAAAACTGTATACCCTTCAGGCCTGCAAGACCATCTTTAACCACCCCTCTTAACATTTTCACTGATCGTCTATGTCTCGCAAGAGAAAGATCGAAAGCGAGCCGTTTGAGTACTATCGCAGCATAGCGGTCGGCTTTCAAAGACATAACCGTATGAAAGGCGTGCGCGCCTAACCTACTCAACCCGAGATGAGCAAATGTTCAGTCAGCTGTACGTAGTGAACAAATGAGGTAACAGCGAACGAACCAAAGTACTGATGATTTCTGTACATCGAATTTCCCTACACGGGCATTCGTAACTTCGGTTCTGCATTTGATTCGTATTGTTGCGTATATATACTGGATCACCTGTCGCATCGTATCTAGTCATATTATCAGATGAGTAGACGTTATGATCCATGCTTAAATAATGCTACTCGCTGTAGATAAAGTTGCCACCTTTGTTAATATTGATTCCCCATTTGACCAGATACTGATGCATTCTCATCGCGGTGATTACGAAACTTTGGTAGACGTTGAGATAGACGGTACGTTCACTATTCAGTTCATTATCATAATATATGGCATGGCCCCTGGCTTTAGCAAGTCTGATAGGGGTGGTGTGATTAGTGGAGATACACCGGAGTACAGGAAGCTTACTGCAGCATTTTTTGAGTAAATATGGCGCCAGGTCTGCGTCCCTTCTCGACGGTAAGGGTATCTTCTAGGCCTATATCGAGAAGAACACCAGCTCAGCCCAGCGGACAATGCATGAAGACATCTGTACATACGTATTCCAAATAATCTCGTGTAATCAGCGAGGACAGATAGATCCTTCATGCCGATGAGAAGACCACACCAAGGGAAGCCTTGACAAACATCGGTATGATTGATCAATTAGGACACGACTACTTACATCGCTGACCCGGTGCTGTGACATTCATGATCTGGGAATCATAATCAAAGTTGGTCATAGTCTTGTCCCTCGATATGAAACATCCATACTCCGGGTGACCTGGGACCATAATGTTCTAGTCTGAATAGACCAGTGAGATTCTCCCATTTACCTTTAATCATCATATCCATAAAACCTCTAGCTCTAGAGAGGCTCGTGGTGACATACAAGTAGTCATCAACCAATCTCAGTAACATCTGCGACAAATCAATGAAAGTAGAACTTGGGGATGCTATCGCTTACACTCTGAGGGTCTTCCATAAAGCTGAAGAATCGTTTCTCCAGATCACCATAGAAGAAGGCGCACAAAAGGGTGGAGAGAACAGATCCTTGGGGAATACCTACCACTTGGCTATAGTATTTCTGACCAATCTGGTACTACATGCTTAGCAAGAAATAGGCGAACGGAGAAGGAAATAGTACTTTGACAATATTTTCGGTGATGTGTTCATCCAGGAGCTTCAACGCTGCACGCTTACTTTCGAACTGATAGTGGACCTTTATAAACCAACATTTACTTTTTGGAATAGAACTGAAACCATCTGATATAGTTACCATACCTGATCGACGAAGATTGTATGCCGCAAGGCATTGGTGAGATCACGAGCATATGATAGAAAATGCGGATGCTCATCTAACGCGACTGGGTCAAACTAGAATCGAGTCAAATGAAAAGTACACATACCATCAGGATACGCTTTCTTCAAAAAGCTTCGCCTAATTTTCCCGGCCACGCTTGAGATCTGGCCATACTTCTGTACCATATAATTGTCCTTTACACGTGGACTCGCATTAGTATTATACAAAGGGGCTGGGGATTGAAGGTACTTCTGATATCAAATTCTGCAGAATCTTGATCAACATTGACTGATCGATCGTATCGAAGCATGCCTGCACGTCAACTTTTACAAAATAAAGTTTCGGTCTGTGACCGAGCGTTTGGTCAGTCCTGCCTTGAGTATCGATGCGTAATGTGTACATACAATTCGCAGGGCGAGTTAGCGCTGGTCAGGCGTGCTTTATATGCTTTCATTTTAGCGCAGATGTCGTTGAAACCGAATACAGAAGCGCCTAGTAAATCCGGTTGCCTTTTCTAGATAAGTTGTTCAGTCAATCCGTCTGATATGTGCCGACCTGACTGTTTACATGCCTTTTCGTACGTTAGAATTTGAAATGTTGTTTGCAGAATTTGATTGATCGATTGCTCAGGACCAGAGAACGTGCCCTAGAGTATCTCTGTTTGGTCAATATAAGGCTGCAACAGAACGGATACTCACATTCTTAGCTGACCTACGCCTCAAGTTGACAATCGGTCGCACCCCTGTGTCCTTAGGTAGAAGTCTTACAAATGAAAATCCCAGCTTCCGTTGCCGAAGAATTTCTTCCGCCTCTGCCTGTGGCAAATTGGAACCAATGATCTCGGACAAGGGGAAACTAACATACCTTATCGATTTCTTGGAACGTGGTTTCGGTAAGACGATTTATCAAAGGGGCACATAAAGCCTCCCAATCATCCTGCCGAAAATAAAGAACTCGATTACGATATGCAGATGATTCCGTGATATAAAACGTGGTCTGTTACACACTCTTTTTATCGAAGACTGGGCGGGAAAATAAAGTTGAAGCGTACCTTCAGAAGTGGCAAAAGAAAAGAATCAAAGTACCAATATAGAAATTCCTCGAGCAGTTCACGACGCTTCAATGCATCAGTGACAGAAACTCTGCTTTGTTTTTGAACAGCCGAGCCAGGAGGTATGAGCCAATCACATTCTGAAATGCTGAAACCTTGCAGTACATGATGTAGCGTTATAGTTTCATATAGGCGACTTGTGATCAACTCTTTGATGGCTGTAGCCGGTCATCAGAAGGTAATCCTGGTTATGACGTATAAAAACATACATTTCTGTAAAACCCTGAAGTTCCTCTTACAACCCCAGAATGCCTCTGGAATAACTGCTTTGGTGGCCATGATAGCAAACCGATAAACCTAAACCTTCCCTTCAGAACAGGTCGGCTGCATGCAGACGCAAACAAACCTCAGCGTAACTGCATATAAATTCTGCAAATCGAGGTTTGAGTTTTCCGTGCTTTTCGGCCTGAGACATACTCTGGGCACGTAAAGAGATTCCTGCAGAATCAGTTGAGGTGTCTTGCACAGATGCTTGGGACCGTAACTGGAAGGACCGCTCCGCCATCATTTCCTGTCAAACAAGAATGTGAAGCGTTGTTAGAACGAGAACATATGTTTATCCTAACTAGAATGACACTGCTGTCGAAAGATTTGTTTCCTGTCGAGCTGACCTGAAATATGCGCCAGTGAAGTAGAAGACCAACCAAGCTGTGAGCTTGACGTACCTTTGATGGGCAAGCCAAATCTCGCAAACGCGAATATCCGCACTTCCCATGTCTCCAGAGGACTTTGTCCAATAACCTCATGACTTCTCTCAACCGCTTAGGAGTCTTGCACTTTCCAAGCCTCTGCCGTCGATGAGAAAGAATGCAAAACTTTGAAAGTAACGTAACAATTCACCTTGATCTCATTCTCTCGGTCTGAGAAATCAGGAAGCCGACGGGGCTGATACCTTGCATTGACCATTTTACTGAAGACGTTCGAAAGGCCGAATTGTAGTGGGAAAACATATTTAGCAAGATGTCGAACGTCGGCTGCTTGTTTACGAGGATCGGGGTCCACGTAGTTTTCGGGGTTGATGGGCGTCCTTTGACGGTACGAGGGATTCAGCTGATTCAAGATATCTGTCAACATAGTCAGTACTTATACAAACCAGATGTGAACCAGATCACGCACGATGGTAAGGTAAACCAACTATCCTACAATGAGAGTTTGGATCCCTTGATGGACGAGCATAGAATAAGCGCGATCGAGGAAAAGCAATGTCTACAGCAGTACGTCTATAAAGAGAGTTTGGCGTGATGGTGATGGTTTATATAGGCAGTCCCTAGGTTTAAATCAGGAAATGCGACTTGCCTTTCTAGTGTCTGAATGGAAGGTTTTCGAGCAGTGCCTTTGAATAGTGCTGACCCAGATTTAGAGGGTAAGGACCTTTGCAGCCGTATACGTTTCCTAGGGCGTTCGCTATCGTCTGAGGTTAACTTTCTTTTTTTCGGGCGCTCCGTACCTTTGCCTTGCACTGCCTTGGAAAGACCCCCACCCATTATGGGTGGTATAATGAAAATGAGCGGGTCCCCAGACATCTGACAGAAACAGTCATTTGGCAAAGAAACAAAGATTGAAGTCTTGGTCAACAGATGTAGCATGGCATCAGCACCTATCCTGGGTCGTTTTTAGACTATGGGTGTCCGGTGGTTGGCGTGATTCAAAAACACGTACCTCTGGAGGAGGGTCTCCCATTCAGGGGCCTGGAGTGCCGTTACGATGGTGTTTACAAAACGATTGGTGATGCCCATGCGAGACATGTTCACTTTCGTGTCTCCTCTTTTCTCGGACACCTACCTAAGTTTTAGGTTCGAGTCGACTAAAAAGGGTGTAAAGACAGACCCTTTGGTACCCGGATGTAATTATGTTGTTTGGTCTACCCGCACTCAAGAAAAGCTTTTCATGAGCTTTGTCGATGATCTTCATTGTGTTGGGTGTCAGTAAAGCCTATCGCATTTCAGGCAGGAGATGAATGTACTTACTTCCCGCATATACATCATAGGAGCAACGGGAGTGAAATGAGGCTGACTTTGTCCACAATTTTCAGATTTGATCCCAACGTAGGACGTACTCAAGAGAGCGCGATATGATTCAGAATCAGAATCATTGAACAAGAGCTGAGAGTTTTCAATATTCATGCCTTGAATGTCTTCTGGGGCGTCGATAATACCAAGCAAGTAGCAACTTAGGCTTTTGACGTGAGAGAAGTACGCATTGAGGACTTCGAGGGAAACGGATTTCCTTGATGTGGAAGACATTCTTCACCAAGTAGAATAAACTCCTAGTTTTCCAAGTTATTAGGGTGTTCAGACACCAGAGGAAAACCGGTTTAAGTATGTTTAAGAAGTAGTACTGTAACAAGCCTAGTTGGGCAAATTCAAGTGCCACAGACGCGGCAGTCACGTGACTGAAATATTTACAATTTCGCGATGAATTCTTTGGTCTCAAGCTTTCGGTCGCAGGTAAGCAATACAACAGTTCGCTCCACCACAAAGCTTGGCTAGGATATTGGGTGCCGACGTTTCTTGCTATACGTGATTCTAGAAGCGCATCCTTAGAAGGTCTTGGACGCAATAATGATAACTTATGCTCCAGTAAGCCACAAGTGAAGTAAATGCTGAGAATAAAAAGAACTAGGAAAGAACAAGAATGGTAGGTGATATGAAAAACTATAGGTACAAGCCTTCTGGCGTCCCTTCGTTCTTCCTGTACAGGACCTGCACATAAATTGTCAGTGTGAATTACAAAACACACGGATATCAGCTGCCATACCTTCTCTCTTGCCGAGGTAAAATCGGCCTTCGTCACACGCATCCGTCGTTCTCTCAATGCTAGTAGACCAGCCTCTGTACACACTGCCTTGATATCTGCACCTGATAAATCGTCCTTTGCCATAACAAATTCTTCGAGGTCAACATCTTCATTAAGACTCATACGTGACGTATGTAATCTGTGCAAGGCCTTAATAAAAAGAAGATGAATACAATAGCGAATTGCTTACCTGAAAATGTGCCTCTTCGTCTTAACATCTGGTAGTGGGAATTCGATTTTACGGTCGATACGACCGGGTCGAATGAGTGCAGGATCGAGTGACTCGATCCTATTTGTGGCCATAATTACTTTGACGTCTCCACGAGTATCGAAACCATCCAGTTGATTGAGGAGTTCCAACATAGTACGTTGGATCTCCCGCTCGCCTCCTGATGTCGAGTCGTATCTAAAGGTAACATTCGTGATGAGTCAAATTTGCACGTATGAAAAGAGCACATGCACTCCACATACCGTTTCGTACCAATAGCATCGATTTCATCAATAAAGACTATACTTGGAGCATGCTCCTCAGCTACACGGAACAACTCTCGTACAAGTTTCGGTCCATCTCCGAGGTATTTCTGTATAAGCTCGGAGCCGACAACACGCAAGAATGTCGCAGAGGTCTGGTTTGCCACGGCTTTGGCAAGCAGCGTTTTCCCTGTACCAGGGACACCGTATAATATGACACCTTTAGGCGGTTTGATACCCATTTCTTCATAAAGTTCGGGGTGTGTTAGAGGTAATTCGACGGATTCCTGTGTAACAAGAAATATTTTAGACACATGTAAACATCCAGAACACTGAATAACGCACTTTAATTTCTTGTATCTGATTCTCGAGCCCACCGATATCGGCATAGCTCTCTGTAGGCGCCTTGTCAAGTTTCATTACACTGACCATCGGATCCGCGTCATCCTGCAGCACACCGACGACCGCTTGGGTTTTGTGGTGCAGGAGGACTTGGCACCCAGGCTCAATGCGGTCCTTGTCCACGAAACTCATTATGGATACATAGTACTCAGGTCCAGACGCAGTGCTGACGATGGCATGGTCATCGTCGATGATTTCCTCCAGCGTGCCTACAGCCATCGGACTTCCACGCAAATCATCCACCTTTGTTCTATCCTCTTCATTCTTCTCCTCCCTCGTTGTTTCAGGCTTCATACGTTCTTGGTTCTGGACAAACTCTTCCTCCATAAGCAGATAGTCCTTGATACGCTCCATCTTGAGAAGCCTCAAACGGCAGCGAGTAGCGGGGAAGACAGCAGGGAGTTTGGAGGCAGTATCAGGGCCACGCTTTTTCTTCTTTCCAACACGAGTGGGCAAAGGTGGCTCCCATTTCTTCTTCTGAGCAGCCTGGTCTTTCTTGTTCTTGTTATCCTGGTTCTGCTGTTGTCCACCACCAGGCGGCATACCAGACGGAGTGTTACCCTGGAGGTCCTCAGCAAACGGTAAGCAACATATGAGTTCCCAGTACATACCATGTCTATTAGCTTTTGTAAACCAGTTGGGAGAGAGAAAGGTAAAGCTTTTGGTCAACGGGCTAAACGGTTACGGAGGACCGACCGGTATATGCACGACGCGTCACCTCAGTAATTTTGGAACTCCGCTCACGTGTCGAAACCCGTGGGAACCTCACGGACACGACGTCAAGTGCGCAGGGCAAAGGTAGAGAACCGCTGCGATAGGACAGGACTCCAGCGGAGGACGTGAAAGATGGACTTCTCGTCAGTAAATACGCCTCTCACATCGAGCTCTCGCTTTATTGAAGCGGGTATGTCTTTCCCATCTGACACGTCGTCCAAGCTAACCATGACCCAGACAACGATGACGACCTAGACGAAGAGAACATTCCTGGCTTCACCCACCCTTCACTCGCTTCTCCTCCACAAGATAAAGGCAAAGGCCGTGCACCAGAACAGTTGGCAGAGCCTTCAGGAAACACGACCTCTCCCACTGGTGTCTCGGGCAACATTGGCAGTTCTAACGGTTCTGCACAGTCTAAACCCGCAAGGCAGACCATCGGTGGTGTTCAAGTGGAGACGCGGTCTGTTTCTGGTTGTATAATGAAACTAAACTTCTCCTGAATGCATGGGTCACAGACATACGGGAGTAGACACACTGGATGAACCTGTCACCACGACCATTGTCAGTACCTGTTACTCCAGCTATCTCACCTCCGACATTGACTTTATACTAGGCCCGTGACCTTATTTCCATCTATACCAAACTTGTACAAGTGCTCTATCCGCGAAGAAGCAGTGGCCGAGAAGTCCTCAGGTTCGTTTGCCTGAGTAATCATTTAACGGTGCTGACTTATAGCGAATAGAGACTGGGACTTATGGGGGCCTCTATTGTTGTGCCTCTTATTAGCAATAATGCTAAGCGTGAATGTGTGTAATTGCACTCTTGTCTTCAGATAATCTTTGAAACTGAGTACACCACGTAGGCACCACCCAGCCAGTCGTTAGGGGTTTTCACTAGCGTAGTAGTGATAGTCTCGCTCGGTTCATTGGTGGTGACCGTACAAGCAAAAGTGCGTATAAACCCTTTCGCCAGTACTGCATTTCTAACGAAACCAAACTACAGCTCTTAGGTGGCAGGGTGTGAGTGTTTCATTTCATCAAATTATAGCTCTGCATTTTCTGACGCAGTTGACTTTTATACAGATCATTCTTCCAGGGTCTTTGTGTCCTCGGGTACTGCATCGCCCCGCTGAATATTGCGGCCCTCGTATCGTGCTTCGTACGTATAATATGGATTCGCGCTCCCGTTGCTCTTGCGGCATGGGCATGGTGTATATGGGGTGCGCCTTTTCTTCTTCGCACTTCTGACTTTCCTTATTCATTCTCACCTCCTCTAGCTTCTGTAAATTTCCTCGACGGCACAAAAATCGAACAGCAGCGCATCTTGCTGGCTGTATACCCGCTGCTGTAAGTCTACACTGCATCGCGTGAACCGCTGAAAAATATTTACATTGTCAATTGTCTGGATTTTTTTCAGGCTGTTCTATTTTATCCTGGCTTGGATGATACTTATACAATGATCTGCCTCGCATTATTCGCAAGTACTTGTTAGCGAACAGGCTCTTGAAAAACTTTGTGATGGTTCCACCTGCCGCGATGTAATGTGACTTATCGCTTGTTTGTTGTACGTTTCCTGCTATTCGCCTTGCCGTGTTCATGTGGTGCTCGAACGAAACAAGGGCATTTAGACTAATTCATCATTTCTTGTTTCGTCCACCACGAATAATCTAAGTAATTTGGCTCTTATTAGTAAGTCGGTTAGTTCCGATTAGATAAGATCTTATCTTTCACAGTGACCTTTCCCCAAGATCGACGGTCCTGAGTAAACTTACAGTTCTCAGTCTGCGTTACTTATCCTTTATAGCTCCTCTGTACTCTAACTCAGTATTTTTGCAAACCATGTCGCTCCGTGTGGGATATGGTAAGTCCCATGTATTTCCGGACTGGGCCTAATCATCAAGTGTTGTGAACAGTTAGGGAACACTTCTCATCCCCTTTACTCCAGTATGCACTGGCGGACCAGGAGAAAACATTCACACTCGTTGAATGTCCCAGTAAGCCGCTCCTTGAAGATGCTACGAACCCAATGAGAACTCACGAAATGTCTCTCAGGCGGGACTGGCCAGCTGATTTCTCGACTTACAAACGACGAGATTGATATAGCCATGTACGTTCCGAGTTGACTGATAAATTCGTAGTTGGCCCTTTCAATGTTCCTCCTAGTGCACTTACGGACCCTTTGATTTCTGGCATCGCCAAAGGCTCACAAGCATACAAGCTCGTAGGGAGCTACGTCTCCACCCCCCTTAACTGGTCTGTCCCTTTTTCTCGTTTTCTTCCTCGACCCTTTATTGAATCATTTGCGGAATTGACACGTTACACACAGGGCAGTTATCACTGGCAAAGACTCTAAGTACAAAGCTATTACAGACTTGAAAGATACTACCATAGGTATTTCGCGTCCTGGGAGGTGGGTTTCTGTGCATGGAATCACTGCTGCGGTCACACATACTCATGAACACATATTCTATACATTTCCTAGTGGGAGTCAAACGATGGCCTACGTCATGGCCCTCCAACAAGGCTGGGACACAAGCAGCCTCAAGTTCCAAGGTCCGTTCACTCCCCCGTCTCCTACTCTCTCAACCCCCTCACACATCCTTACCAAAAGTCAACAACGACATCCATGGCCTCATCAAATCAGTCAACGATGACTCGACGAGCGCTTTCATGTGGGAATGGTTTACGACGAAACCATATGCCGATTCTGGGGACGTTAGATTCGTGCGTCTTTGCTGTGCTTGGATTTCTCTTTGTTTTGTTTACTCACGACCCCTGATGCCTCGAAAATAGATCGGCTCGGTGCCTACGCCCTGGCCTTCGTGGATGATCGCCGCTCATCCTTCGGCAGAACGTGCCAACCCCTCCGCCGTGCGGGAGTTCCTTTCTAACCTAAGCGGGTACGTGAGGAGCTTTGGCTCGGAAGAGCAGCGCAAGAGTGCCAGCGTCGAATTTATCAAAGATAAATTTGGGTACCCCGAAGAAGATATTCGGGTGAGTGTGAGCCATCCTACAGGCGAGAAGGGGAGCGCTTGGATTGGCCTTTTGGTTCCGTTGCATGGATAGTGCTGACGATTTTGGACGATGCTTTCTTGAACAGGCATGGCTGAAGACGGTCGCATATCCCTCCGACTGTGCGGAGATACAGACGCAGGTGGTCAGCGACACTCTGAGGTGCGCTTTCCCTCGCAATTATCATTTGTACAATTAGATATCTGAAACCGCTTGCATTTCACAGAGTCCTCGAACAAGCCGGCGTAGTGTCAGCTCCAGAAGGCGGTTTCGATCTTGCCCAGTTCTTCAACATCGAGATTGTCAAGCTGACGAGTGCTTGAGAGGGTTGACGATCAAATTATATTCATATTCATTAAGTATGTAAGCAATATGGCTAGACTGTAAGTAGAAAGGCGATAAGTTGAAACCCGGGACTGGCCAAAGGGATAGCTGACGGAAGTAATGTTGGTTGGTACAGTTTGATGTTCGGGGTATCCGTGAAGAGTCTTTATCCATTGTGATGGAGCGAAGTGATATAAGGGGCGAGAGTCAAACAGTCGTTTTCCTTTGATCAACATAGCTCAAAGGTAGAAAGGTTGAATGTTGTTCTTGGTATCTCAACGGCGATGAGGGGCGGTAAATTCGAGAAATGACGACTGGAACGCAACACTGTAGAGGCGGACAGCACTGACGCGGGTTTCATGATAGTTGGTGCCAACATCAACGAAGAACCGCTTTCGCTGTCCCCAGCTGTCTCCGTCGGTTCTTGAGTATATGATGATCGTGTGGCAGATTCAATGACTTTGTTCGAGGTGTCGTAGGGCATGAAGCGTAGTGATTCGAGAGTAGATCCAAACATGACAGCCGGGCGCGAAGTGTGCTTGTGCAGGGAAATAGTACATACGTGAAAAGGTTTTCTGTCCGCAAATGAAGTATTTTAGAATAAAGTACTAAACAAAATCAAGAAGTCTCCAGCCTAACGAACCTAGCATCCTCAGTCGATCGATAAAAACCGAGGTGTTGAATAACCCAAAGGCAAGATAAATAGTAACATCGTCTTGCCTCCTTCGTCAATCCAAAAAATGCAAAAAAAATCAAGGCATAGAACGCGGGGAACCACCGATGGGACTCGACGGCGAGTTGTTCTACAGTGTGACGTGCCCATTCGGAGGCGGGAATTTGTAGTATATCCGAAAACTCAGAATGGACAAAGTTCCATGTGTACGGGGTGGTTATGTGGAAAAAGCCAAGGATGAGGCTTAGCAATGCATCTGGGAGGGCACATATGATGCCAATACCACAGAGAGAGAGAAGGCGCCAGTAGCGCTGCGGATACTGGCCGTCTATTATATTGCGGCTGCGAGCCCTCCGTTGGATAGTTACATAGACGGTAAGGCCTGTGACTGATGTTGAGTGACGAAACGTATAGATACAAACTTTAGAGTCACAAACCTGCGTATACACTGCTCACCAATGCGATTATGATGGGCCATATCCTATAAAGTGGAATTCCAAGTGTCGTAACTGCTATGGCCGGAAAGCAACCTATATCTTCCAGAATCACATATCTATGAGATACGACGATATACTCTTCGCGAGGAATGTTTGGTCAGACTTGGAAAACCATAATAAAATCGTGGTCTGACGTACGGAAGACTAAAAGCAGCAGGGGGGTACCAATTCCAAGCGAAAGGTTGATGAGAAGATCGATTCGAACCTAACGTCCTGGGGGTTCAACTGAAACAGACGGCAATGTGAAAACTGCTATGATTACCTCTGAGCTGCTCTGGTTCATCACCTTCATTGTTACGATGCGATATAGACAACGAACTATGCACAATAATGCCGTTTGGTTCCCAGTGGTAGATGCAGTAATCAAGCGGGATGCTACAAACAAAATAAGCTGCATGGACATCATAGTAGGAACAACAGCCACGCACAGATATCACACCACGCTGGCGCCACGTCAGCCATACTATTATTCCACACGATAGAATTCACGCTGAACACAAGACAAAGGATGCTCGTCCATACGACGAACAACAATACGCCGACGTTCAAGTCCTTCGCTGAATGCTATATCATCATGAGGATACAAAGCAAGATACCGAAAGGAACGTACCTCGGAAATGCATCGGCATTAGAATAACTGTCGAAAAGAATCCAAGAAAGCCGAATACGGGATAAACATGGTTTGTTGTGAGAGCTTGAAGTTTCATCTGAAAAGGGTGCAGGAACTATTGCTTTCCGTTGATGCACCACACTTTATAAAGGATAGCCATAACAGAAAATGGACGTAGACCTTTGAGTGGAACACGTTATGCTGCTCAACGGGATGGTACAGCCAACGAAATGATCCGCGTGACTGTTGGTATTGGCAACTAATAGTCGAGTGATCTACAGCAAAACAGGGCGCCTGCATAAATCGCAAGAAGCAGATCCAAACTGTGCAAGTGTCGCAGCCTTAGGGGTGGCGGCCAGGAGCCTATCAATGATGGCACTGTTAAAATGGAATTAATAAATACCATCAGAAGAACTGCGCAGGGAGGGACAATAACTTGAATTGAGTTCATCTTACCATGCTACGTCGAAATCCTATTATAACGTTTTGTGGATGAGTCCTGTCGTCCGGAAGACCTGAGCGCTCACCAGAATTATCCAAGCCGCAGTACAACAGTGAGATCGAATTCCAGGTTGATGTTCACTTCGAAGAATAGATGTGCTTGCATGTAGAACGAACAGGCTGCAACATGCACCACTTGATCTGTGTGGTAGGCTGGAGACCCAAGCACAGGACACCAATCAAGATGGGAGACTCACCAATAAGTCTCAACATGACAGCGCCAATATTAAACGTTAAACGCGGCCCATATACACATGCTCGGCACCCCTACAGTTCCTCCAACTGAAAGTCCCATCAATCCACATACAACAGCTACCTATAAACTACACATAAACCTCTGGGCAACAGCACCATGTGATTCCCTTTTTTGAAATCCTGCATTCGGCTCGCAGGTCCTCGGAGGTGGGCCCAGATACAGTACTGCGAGTGCAGAGGCTGGTAGGTTTGCAGGTTTTTTTTTGGATTATTCTATGCAATCTCTTCAACATTGGGAGAACTACGTGGCGGCTTGGCGTCCAACGAACATAAAAAAGACTGGATGAAAGAACCTATGATAATGTGAAAGCTGTCGACAACACGATGATAGATATTGTCACCCCTGTAAAGAAGAATCTCCAACGTAGTAAACCGTCCCCGCCATGAGTGGGATAATTTACTAGGTTGGAGGTCCTTAGGCGTTGAGGCGATTCTGACCGTCGTGATGGAAAAAGAGCTACGACGATAATGGAACGGTAATATCGCAATAGTTCCGTTCTTACTGTTTCAAAGGATGTTAGTCCTGCAAGCGGCTATATATCCTTAGGCCCTGGTTGCATTCATTTCCAGCAACATTATCCTGTTAGAAAATGCTGTCATTACCGGTGTTATTGTTGTCGTCGTTGTCAGTGCTGTTACTGACGCTACTGTTCGAACATACCACAGCCTGCCTGTCATTGCCACTGTTGTGCTTTATCCAACTCGTTTTCTGTCATCGTAGTCCGCAGTGTAGTGGTTGGTCATCCAAATACAGAGATGGCATATGGCGCAGTAAGGCACAAACAATAACGTTATCCACGCACCTCCCACAACTTCCCCACTTTTCTTCCAAAGTCTCCCAACTGCAAGTCTTCAATTTCCGAGTCCTATCTACATACCACGGCTACTTGTAAAAAACTATAACCCGCTCAAGATTTAGACTCAAAAACCTCATCATTCGTCATGGGCTCCCTCTGTTCGAAATCGCGCTCCCACTCGGGCGGCCACCAGGTCCTTGGCGGGGCACCCGCTGGCTACGGTGCTACGAGCGCAGGGGGCGGTCGGACTGCAGGCTCGCAACCCCCAAGCTCGAGTGCAGACCCGCGCGCGGCGGCTGCTGAAGCTGCAGAGCGCAGACTCAAGTCGGTACGTCCCACCCACTTTCCCAAGACCCACGTCCTACATCCCACATTCTGTTTTCCCTGTGCCTATGCGTACCCTACGCAGCACACAATAACTTACCCCCGCTTTCCCCCCTGCATGTCGTATAGGAACAAACCCGGGGAACCAATGTGTCGAATCCCAAACGCGGTCATCTGGCGGCGAAAGTAGAGGCAGCCAAGGGAAAACCTGTCATTCCAGAGGCCAAGAAAGACGAGCCGCTTGTCGTGAGTTTCCCCCCCTCTCATCCCCTCGGCTCATGTCCTCCCACCACCATCACCCCTGTTATGTGCTGCAGTGGTAGACGATGTGTTTTGCTTACTGATTCTTTGCTTTATATTACTCACATTCGCGTACCCCGCTATTCATGATCATGTTTGACCGATCATCGATCACTTGAAACTCATGGTTCACCGTTCATGATCTCTTCCCCCTACCTATCACACTTCCATATTACCACCACACGTCACCGTCCCACAAATCCTACCCTCTTTCTTGCTTTCGTCACCACAAAGTGGGACTGAGAGGATGGCAACTATGTCGCCCAAACACGCATTTGAGCATCACGTCCCCTTGAGATACCGATACCTTACCTACGACTACCCGACTATTGGCAAGCGACCCACGAACGTCACCAACCCTCTTCCTTCACGCTCCCACCATAACCTCACGACCCAAGCAACCCAAGCCACCCACGCACCTCTTCTCATTCATATTCATTAACCCCACCCGCCACCCGCCACTCACGACTTACTTCACACCGTACGACGCGCGTCCTGCGAGGAGATCGAGAAGGGGGGCGCTGAGGAGGTACAGTATAAATAGCACGAACTTTGTTTTTTTTTTTTTTTTTGTTTTTTCTTTAAAAAAAAACATTCGTGCTACACCTCGACGCTGTAGCTCCTGGAGGCTCAGAAGAGGAACGGAAAGGGGGTAGCACATCCCTAAACCCGCGAGTGGAAATGGACTCTTATTAGTGACGGACAGGGAGAGTAGGGGGGGGGGGACGCGGAGGACGTGCGGCTTGCCTCGTCAATACTCGATAATCAATAATCCAACACATGCCAAGGCGCTCATTAATGACCCCCTCTCTTCCATTGTACGCAGCATGTCTCAATGAAAGCTCGATAAACAAACAACCTTGACCTTAACGTTTACCGTCCAAAACCCAGTTGTCCGAGATCAATAATATCAAGCTGGGCTGCATCCCACTATCAAATTTACATCAGGGGGTCAAAGTCACAGCGTGAATTCAAAGTTCCACCGCTAATAACACAAAGCCCAAGGAAATCGAAATCGAAAGCCATGTATCCATGCATACATGCATAATCGAATTAAGAAAACATTGTAAAAAAACATCATCTAGTATATTTGTTAACTGTGAGATAACGAGTATTGGAGGAAAAAATATGACGGTGGTAGTACCTTGATGTAGTAGCAACAACAACGAATGTTCAGAACGTCCAGAGCTTCACAAAAGTAGAACAACAACAACAACAACAACTTGAACAGAAGCAACGACGGCAGCAGCAACAACAGCGGCAGAAAATAGAAACATCAGCAACAGCAGCAGCAGCAACACCAACAGCGATAAGTAATAGTCCAAACAATACGAGAACAAGGAGGGTTGGCTGCCCCCCAAGTCCGGAATAAATACGGAAAGGCGGGGGAGGTGGGCATCAGATACAACGAAATGTAACAAGTAGGAAAACCGTCCAGGAACGTCCACAACAGCACACATACACCCACCCACATACACGCAAAACAAGTCCGAGTCCGAGTCCGAGTCCAAGTCCAAGTCAGAGAGAGCACGAGTGTTCCATAATGCCATTCACCGTGCACGAGCGGCGCGCGTTCGCGAATCAGGTCAAGTTTGGCAAGTTGAAGTGTGTAAGAAAAGTGAAAAAGTAAATTAAAAAAAAACAAGGGGGGGAGCATTGGGTTTAGCCAAAAGTGAGTTAGCCCCATGACATGGAGTATACGGGAATGAGTCGAGTCAGGGGATAAGGTAAAAGCGAGTCGAAAGGAGACAATGTCGAACTCTGATATGAGATGCATCAAATAGGGATTAGAATGTTTTTCAGATGGGGAGGTTTCAGAAATCGAATTCGAGGTTTTTGGGGTTTTGAGATAGTGAGATGAGATAATTGAAATTTGAAATTGAAAACTTGTCAAAAGAATCTTGAGTGAGACCTACGCCCTCGCTCTCACACGAGGCTTCCCAGCAGCAGCAGCAGGGGGAGGAGGAGCGACATACGCGTCCATCCTGTCTTTCGGCGGCGTCACAGGCCTGACGAGTCTAAAATTCCATTTCAAAACAATCGTCAGCGAAATTGCACCCAAAAAGACGCCCTGACCACACAATAACCAAAATAAACATAAAACCAAAACCAAAAAGAAGCGCAAGCGCAAGATCTCACAATCCATGTGAAAAAAAAATAAGAGTCCAAGACATGTGAAAAAAAAAGATGCCTCCAACACCCTCAATTAGGAAAATCGAAGAAAGCGATGGGAGAGTGTCGCGTCGCGTTGCGATAGAACGAGATTTCAAAAAAGGCACGGACATGTAAAGTGAAAAGAATCACTAATTCAAAGAAGGAGAAAACACAAACACCCATAACCCATAACCAAAATCAAAACCAAAAAAAAACTCACTTCAACCAAACCCGCCCCTTCCCACTCTTCTCCCTCACCACTTCCCACACATACACCTCCTCCCCTTCCCCCTCCCCATCGCTGCCAGCACGGCGACAAAGACAATCCAAAAGTGTCTGTCTCCCCTCCCTCGTTCCCTCCGCCTCAAGCACCCACTCTCCCCTCCATTTCTCGCCTAGCGCGTCTGAAGTCCAGGGGTCCGGGTCTGAGTCGGGGATGGGGTGTTTGGGGTGTCCGTTGACGTTGATGTTGGCGTAAACACTGGCATGGGCATGGGCACCATCCCAAATCCCCATCCCGACTCTCGCCCTCGCCACCCACATATACCGCTTCGCCACCGCCCAGCCTCCCACCGAATGCGGACTCGGCACCTTCGTAGGCGTATAAC